ACAATAGCCAAATTATGGAAAGAGCCTAAATGTCCATCAACTGATGAATGGATAAAGAAATTGTGGTTTATATACACAATGGAGTACTACATGACAATGAGAAAGAATGAAATATGGCCTTTTGTAGCAACGTGGATGGAACTGGAGAGTGTGATGCTAAGTGAAATAAGCCATACAGAGAAAGACAGATACCATATGTTTTCACTCTTATGTGGATCCTGAGAAACTTAACAGAAACCCATGGGGGAGGGGAAGGAAAAAAAAAAGAGGTTAGAGTGGGAGAGAGCCAAAGCATAAGAGACTCTTAAAAACTGAGAACAAAGTGAGGGTTGATGGGGGGTGGGAGGGAGGGGAGGGTGGGTGATGGGCATTGAGGAGGGCACCTTTTGGGATGAGCACTGGGTGTTGTATGGAAACCAATTTGACAATAAATTTCATATATTGAAAAAAAAATAAAAAATAAAACAAACTTAATTTTTTTCAGAGTAGTTGTATTATTTTCAATGTAAAAAAATATAACTTTAATTAATATTCTATAACTCTACACCCAAGTGGGATTTGCTGTTGCCTTTGCCCTGGGTTTTCACAGTTCCCAGGGTTTCCAAAGCATATTTTAAAGACTCTGCGTTGAAGGAAGATAGAGTTGAGGGTTTGGTTACCATAAAGGAATAACGAACCAGAAGCTTGGAAGTTGGCCTGAGAGGTTGAGTCAAGAACAATAAGACTACAGACACCACAGTGTGGCCTGGCTCAATCCCCCAGGGAATTAGACCTGATACCAGCTCATTGACTCCCTGACCAAGGACAAACGGACTTGTCTCCTGAGCCTATAGGTGAAATGAAATCTACAGTTTCATTTAATCACAACTGTTCTTCAAAATGCTCACTCTAGCCACAAGAGACTCCTTGGGACTCTCTCAGCACTTGAACCTGAATACTGGAAGTGTGTCTTAGCAATTGGAGAGCAGTATGTGGCAACTGAGACTTGTTCATTTGTTTGTACGTGTGCCTTGATTTCTAGACTATTCTTCCTGTGAGTTGTTAAAGGTCTCTGAATTAAGCTGTACCTTCTTGCACTGCCGAGCAGCATTATATCCAGCACACTGCCCTAGGCCAGCTCAGATAATGGGGCAGAACAGCAACATAATGGGATATTATAGCAATTCTTAACCCATTCCACACTTGACTAACCCCAGTAATGAGTCAATAAGGCCTGTAGCTCTGTAATGGGAGCTTATGCAGTGGAACATTGAGGCAGGATGTTGCAAAGGAAAACCTAGGAGCCATACTGGAGCAGTTACTGCAGCTCCTAATATTTATAATAGGCCAATTCAGTCTGCAATCTGATCTCTGTGTGGTGCCCAGAGTCTTCCTGGTTTGCTTTCCTGAATCACCTCTGTTTTTCCAGTTCCTTACACCAAAATAATTGAGATAGCCTTGCTAAAATGAGATAGACAAGGGATTTACATCTTTAAGTTTTGAAAAGGAGGAAGTAGACTGAATGGAAATAAGGCTTATCATACACAATTTAGTCTCTCATGCCCCTGATTTCTCATTCTAAACTCAGATTTCTATGCTATGGATCCAGGAGGGGGAGATTAGTCAGGATTATTGCCTTCTCCTTCTGGTTCTACCAATACTTTTAGTTATTTTAATTCTTCAAGGATTTCTGATGGTTTTATTCTCTTTTAGCTCTAATAGCCACAAGATATCTTAAAATTGGAGGCTTCGAACACCTGCCCCATGATCTCAAATTGATTAACTGAAAAGTTCAGCATGTACCTCTTAAGACCTAAATGATACTGTAATTAGATGCAGAGTAGTATTGCTGTGAACCAATATATGTATTCCCTCCTCCCTGCCCAAATTCATATGTTGAAGCCCGTACAACCAATGTGACTGTATCTGGAGACAGGGCTTTTAGGAGGTAATGAAGGTTAAATAAGGTCATAAGGGTGAAGTCTTAATCTGGTAGGATTGTGGCCTTATAAGAAGAGGAAGAGAGGGAGGTATCTTTATTGACATGCAAACACTGCAAGGAAAGGCCACATGAGCACACAGCAAGTGGGTGGCCATCTACAAGCGAGGAAGGCGTTCTCACCAAAACTTGACCAATCTAGGACTTCGAGCCTCCAGAAAGGTAAAAAATGCATTTATGTTGTTTAAGCCACCCACTCTATGATATTTTGTTATAGCAGCCTAAGCTGACTAATACAAGTATATTCAATGATGTACTTAACATCGTTTTCTACAATGATCCTAGATCAGTCTAGCAGAATAGAAGGATGGACTGTGCTACTCCTACCAGGAGGTTGGGCACAGAGAGCAGTGTCACAGACGCTGATAATATGATTATTAGAGAGCAGGAAGCCCCTGTGTATCGACTGTGGTTCAAAAGAAATCTATTCACACAGGAGCTAGCAAGACACCAACAAACTTGACCATCCCTTCTGTGACTCTCAGATCTTCAGCAAAGTTTCTAAATTTTTGACTTGTTTTTGTTTGACCACTGACTTAGAATAAAGCCAAGAGCAGAAAGGAAATTGAACCAGAAGAAGAACCATGAAAATGTAAACAGGGATTTCCAAAAGTATGGGGAGAACTTTGAATGTCCTGAGGCCATGGTGTTGGGCCAAGTTCAGTAAGCTCTTCAGAAGGCAAGGAGTTTCATTTAAAATGAGAGCAACAGGAAAAACACATACTATGAGAATACGTTATAGTTGGACCATACTAGTCGGCATTTTTTTCCATGGGCCAGTATAAGAGAAAAGGCACTTTGGCACTTTTCTGGGGATTGAACGAGGGCAAAGGAAGAATCCTTACAATATAGCGGAGGTAGAGGATACAGACCCATTACTGGGAATTCTGCTTACAACTTAATGAGTTGTTTCCCCTCAAAAATGGCGAATGTACACTTCATTATCCTTCAATATTAATGAGAATAATCAATTTCACTTAATTTGCTCCCTGACACTTTCTCCAAAGATTTAATTTGTTACTGTGTACTTTTTAAAATAACACATTACAAATTTAGTAATATAGAACAAGGAAACAAAATAAGGCAAAGAACGGTTAAAAGGCAGATAAAGGGGAGAAAGACTAGGAAATGAAATATGAAAAAGGAAGAAGCAAACAACCTAACAAATGGGTCAAAGACCTTAACAGACATCTACCAAAAAAGTAGACCAATGACAGATAAACATATAAAAAGATGCTCCGCATCATATGTCATTATGGAAATGCAAATTAGAACAATGAGATACCACTACTATTAGAATGGCCAAAATCTGTAACACCAAATGTTGGCCAGGATGTGAAGCAACAGGAAATCTCATTGCTGGTGGGAATGCAAAATGGTACAGCCATTTTGGAAGACAAAGATTACAAAATTAAACATACTCTTAACATATGATCCAGCAATTGTGCTCCTTAGTATTTGCCCAAAGGAGTTGAAACTTATATCCACACAAAAACTTTGCACATGGTTGTTTATAGTAGCTTTAGTTATAACTGCCAAAACTCAGTAGCAACCAAGATGTCCTTCAGTAGGTGAATGAATAAATAGAACATGGTACATCCAGACACTGGAATACTATTATTCAGTACTAAAATGGCATGGGCTGTCAAGCCATAAAAAGACATGGGGGAACCTTAAATGCACATTACTAAGTGAAAGAAGCCAACCTGAAAAGGTTACATACTGTATGAGTCCAACTATATAACATTCTGGGAAAAACAGATCTATGGAGACCTTGGCAAAAGTCAGGAATTCGGTAGAGCATGTGACTCTTAATCTTGGGGTTGTGAGTTTGAATCCCACGTTGGGTGTGGAGATTACTTAAAAATAAAGTCTTTTTAAAAAGTCAGGAATTAAAGAGGGTAGAAAGATGTGTGGGTGGAGCATGAAGAATTTTTAGGGCAGTGAAACTACCCTGTATGACACTATAATGATGGATGCATGTTGTTATACATATATGTATAATGAATTTATACATATAGAATTTACAACACCAAGTTGAACCATAATGTGAACTATGATCTTTGGGTGATGATAATGTTTCAGTGTAGGTTCATTGATTATAACAATGCACCACTCTGGTGGGGAGTTTTAACAATGGGGGAGGCTATGCGTGTGTAGAGGCAGAGAATATATGGAAATCTTTGTACCTTCTCTTCAATTGCTATACCTAAAACTGCTCTTAAAAATAAAGTCTTAATATTAAAAAAAATGAGCCTGGGAAAGGACAGATGCAAAGGAATAATGAGCAATTGTAAAAAAGAGAAAAAGGACTGTATAGCAGAGATTTTGAGGACACACAAAATATCCATTTCCCATAACCCCTTAGGTTTGGGCTACATGACTAATTCTGGACAAGGAAACAGGAATGGAAATGACATGCGTCATTTACAAGCTGGGCAGCTAAGAGCAGGTGGCCACATGTTCCTAGATCTGTGCTGTGCAATAAATATGATACAAACCCCATATGTAACATTAAATTTTTTAGCAGTCCATTAAAATAAATACATGAAGTTAATTCAATAATGTACTCTGTTTATCCAATACATCCAAGATATTATCCTTTCAACATGGAAGCAATATACAAATAATTATTGAGATATTTTGCGGTTTTATTTTTACTAAGGCTAAATCCAGTGTATTATCTTTAAATTCAGACTAGACACATTTCAAATGTTCAATAACCACAGGCGGCTAGAAACTGAGCAAGAAATAATTTGCAAACTGAGCAAGAAATAATTTGCAAACTGAGCAAGAAATAATTTTTGGTTGCATTAAACAAGCAACTGAAATTTTAGGACTTACATATTACTATAACATTGTGTACATTTACCCTATTATAAAAATTGTTACAAACTCAGGATCAAACAACAGACTTCCCCCTCTTGCTTTTAATTTTAGAGAAATTGGATGCAATCCTTGACCAGGAAATTAGGTAAAGGGTTGATGCACTAGAGCTGTTCACTGTTGGGAGCAAACTTACCGAAGGATTGGAAGTTGATGTCTCACTGCCAGAAGAAACATACAGAACAGATGGAGTTGATTGTTCAGCCAGTCACTATTAGATGCGTACACAAAAACAGAGTTCTAGTCACAGATTTCAAAAAAAAAAAAATTAGCAGCCTCCTTCCCTGCTTGTTAAAAACCTAACTTTTGGGGAGGATATCGTTCAGTCAAACACTAAGTTTATTATTTAGTACATCTTTCCAAGCTTTCTTTTTTCTCATTTAATGACAATTCTCCTTCCTTCTAGTCTGACCATCAACTGCTCAGAAGTCACAGATGCCTCACTTCCAGTGGAGGGGGAAGGAGTCTGAGACCGTGAGCTGGCAGAGGTTGGTGTCGTGAGGACTGAGTTGGGCTCTTTCAGCCCCTGCCTGCTTCTCAGCCAGGTGTTCAGGATGATCACGTTGCTGACAGCTGTGAAGACCCATGGGAGCTGAAGTTCTTGTTTCTGGACCACTTCGTCTTTGGGTGCCCAGTTACAACCATGTATGTCACAAATGGTGCAAAGGTGATTCTCACATTACTGAGCAACTCCTTGGGAAACTGGTAGTCAGTCTCATGATTCAAATTAATTTCTCTGGCCAACCCTCAGCCTATATGAGAAACTTAGAAATGACAGCCACTCCCGAATAGGACATGGGGGTGGAGGAACCTCTTTCCTCTCTCATTTAGAAATGCCATTCTGGGACACTTGGGTGGTGCGGTCGGTTAAGCGTCAGACTCCTGATTTCAGCTCAGGTCACGATCTCAGTTTATGTGAAGTTGAGCCCTATGTCAGGCTCTGCGCTGACGGCAACAGAGCCTACTTGAGATCCTCTCTCTCCCTCTCTCTTTCTCTCTCTCTACCCCACCCCTACTTGTGTTGTCTCTCTCTTAAAATAAATGAATAAAACTTAAAAAAATAAATGCCATTCCAGCTTCTTCTATGTTCTCAAATTCTGCTGCTCTACAAACTCCAGTTAAAAAGTAGTCACCAGTCCTCTAATTAAAGACTCACCCCAAAATTCCATGGACATGTTCCATAGGGACATCTAACCTCCCAGGAAGATGAATGAAGTACCAGCAGCCCCCATTGTGAGGAGGGTGGCCTGGAGAGGGGCAACACAGCTCTCAGACACCTTTCTCCAAATCTCTTCCCCTGATGCTCCTCTCACTCCCACACCCTTTTGCTCCAACTCAGGAGTGGAGACAAACCAGTTCTTCTAGTTCTTATAATCTCTTTCCCAAAGGCCTTATTCTGACACTTAGCCAGGTCTCCACTCAAATAGCAATCTTCTGTCTTTCTTCCCTTCCTACACTCCTCTCCTGTGTGTGTGTGCGTGTGTGTTTTGTGATTTTTTTTTTTTGTAAGTTCATGTATTGACAGTGGAGGAGTGAGAAAGGCAAAGAACTCATTGTTCTCTTTTTCAGTTTATTGTCGCAGGTAAACCCTTCACAGCTCACCCTCTCCCTTGTAATTTCTATGGCCTCACAGCAGATAAAGGAGCTTCCATAGATACTCAAGACAGGTGCACAACTGAGTTCCTGATGAAACTCTTTCTGCTTGGCTTTGTGAATAGATTTGACAACAGCTTCCAGGAAATTGCATCTGATGTTTTAAGCCTAGACCTGGCTGTCAAGCATGCTGAGTCATATCCATTGAGTCAGAGAGTGCTATGCTGTAAGGGAATTTTTCTAACATTAGCCAACCTCCCTGCTTTGGGATGAGGAAAACAGCAGAGTTTCATAGCTAATGATCCTGACGAGGGAGGAAAGCTTCCCTTCAGTTTGTTTGTTTGGTTGGTTGGTTGGCTGGCTGGTTTTTCTTCAAGGTCTTATCATTATTATCTCAAGGTTCAAACATAGCTCTGAGCTCACCTACCTGGGAAGTAAAGGCTTGTAGCCCATACTATTTTTTCTAATAAATGTAATTATAAAACAAAGTAAAAGATGTGACATCAATTGATTAATTAAGCTCCCATAGGTTCAAAGTAAATACATAGTTAAATGCCATGAGGAGGAAGTTGGAGACCTCAAAATTGCAAAAGTAAAACATCAGCAATAGAGCCATATTTTTCTATGCCTTTAATTCTTAGATGTTCACAAATGACCAAGAGTTTATTGATTTGTGGTCTAAACATGACAAATTAAAACATTAGCAGAACCCATAAGCTCCAAATTAATTGGAAGAGGAGATCTATTAAGAGTTGAGTAGAAACAAAAATAATATAAAAACAGGGAGGGGGACAAAAGAGACTCATAAATATGGAGAACAAACTGAGGGTTACTGGAGGGGTTGTGGGAGGGGGGATGGGCTAAATGGGGAAGGGGCACTAAGGAATCTACTCCTGAAATCATTGTTGCACTATATGCTAATTTGGATGTAAATTTTAAAACATAAAAATTAAAATAAAAGAAAAGAATTGAGTATCGGGGCACGTGGTTGGCTCAGTTGGTTAATACTCTTGATTTTGACTCAGGTCATGATCTCATGGTTCCTGACATCAAGCCCCACACTAGGCTCTGTGCTGACAGTTCAGAGCCTGCTTGGAATTCCCTCTCTCCCTTTCTCTCTGTCCTTCCTCTGCTCATGCTCGCTTGCTGTCTCTCATTCTCTCTAAATAAATAAATTAAAAAAAAAAGAGTTGCGCATAATACTTCCACGTAGTTTATGGTTCACAGTCAGTATAAGAATACATATTAAACAGAAACATTAGTTACCCTTTCTTAAGTGGGAAATATCCCAAGCTACAATCATTAGACTAAAGCTGTTCACATTTCAGAAACTCAAGGACTGCCTAGAATAAGTCTGTGATCTCCATAACCTGATTTCAATGGGAAAAGGACCAAATAAATTGCAGGTATTTTTAAAACCACAGTGATTGCTACAAATCAAAAAATCAAGATACCTAGACACACATTCACATTACCTTCATGCGTTTCTCAATATGTAATTCCACGGTAAGATTTTAAATCTGATAATTATTTTTTTTGCTTTTCTATTTTTTCTTCAACAGCAACAAATAAACTTGCTCTGCCTCTCAATAATGTGACATTAAAGAAACGGTCTACAGACTTGTCATTTTTCCAATAATGCAAAAATTTTCCTAATAAAAGCATGACTGAATGAGGATGAATATAGGGTAAAATTATTTCCATTATCTTTACCTTCAATTTTTCATCAGAATTTCATAATTAAACTCCTTTTCAATTCTATAAACAATATACTATTCATACAAAAAAATACTAAAAGGTTTTATGAATGTTATAAAATGATTTATATATATTTATGCTGGCTTCTAAAAGAGGCATAAAGCATTTTCTTTGCCCAAATAAAATGTATTTGGGGCAGAAACTAATATAGATTACATTGAAAAATATGCATGCATTATTTATTCCTTTTTTTCCCCAGTTCATTTTTACCCATTTGAATAAAAATGGATATATAGAAGGGTGGAAAATTCTTTACATTAAGGAGTAAATGAGTGACATTCAAAATTAGTGATAAACTAACAATTGCCCTAAAAGACACAGGTAAAGGAATGTTGGTGGTTCAGCTCTACTATCCATAAACATGTGTAGGGGCCCGATGAGGAATTGATCCTCCCAAGTCTTCCCAACCACCTACCCAAGTGTATTAAAATCCATTATCCTGGATCTTGAAATATTTTGAGGACTTACAGTCATCCATTAAAATGCACAAAGCTGAGCAAAAGGACATATTTTGGTAGGAAACAGTTTGGGGAGGAATAAAAAAGATGCAGGTTGGAGAAGAGGCAGAGTAAGAGAAAAGTTCTGTGATTGGGGAAGGGGCCCATAAAAGGGAAGGCAAAGGAGCCCCAAAGCCATATGTTGACATCTAGAAGCCCTCTTGTGAATGGCATGCCCTGATATCTTGAATTATTGGCCCTGATTTGTCACCTTTCCATATATCCACCATCTTTGCCTTGTGCCTTTGAAGTTCTTCCCACTAAAGGCAAAATGTTCTTTCCTACCCTTGACTTTGGGCTTGGCTTTGTGGCTATCCCAAAGACTGCTAGCCAACATGATGCACTTAGCAGCTTCAAATGTGCTTGTGCATTCTATTGTCCTCTTCAACAGCTGTGAGTAGAGCATAACCAAGCTAGTGCACAGGTCCAGGGAAGATGAGAGAGACATGTGGAGCAGAGGTGGATTCAGTCTGCACCTTGGAGCCAAATGTATATCAGCCAACCCCCTGCAGACCTGCAAATGCATGAGGAAGAATAAATGATTGTTACTTTAAGCCATTGAGCTTTATGGTGCTTTCTTTTGCAATCTCACTGTGGCAAGGGCAAACAGATAGATTGATTCTGGTGCTGGTGCTGAGGATAAGGCAGTTAACAAGACACAATTCTTGTTTTCAAGGGATTTACAATGTACTAGATGATACAAATCAGCAGGCAGAAGGTAAATTACTGTCTAGGGTAACTACGAGATATCTAACCTAATGTCCAGGATTCAGGTGCCCTAGATTGAGTTGCATCTAAGCTCAGACCTGACGGATGAAGAGGAATGAACAAACCAAAAGGACTGGTGGGGAGTTGTGATTTGAGAGAGCCCTGTCGGCTGAGCAAATATGCAAAGATATGCAAAGACCTGGGCATATGAGACAGCACAAAATTTTCAAGTGTGAGCAATGGGAGAGTGAGAGATGTTAAGAGAGGAGATGAGAAAGAGTAATAGCCAAATGATTCCAGTCAAAGACTGTACTGTGTAAGAAGGATAGCACGAATAGGTGTGGATTTTGGTAGAGTCCAGGGGAAAGATCATCAGGTTATTGAGTTGCCCGCCCAGAGTTTCAGTTTACTCATTTTGTAGGTCTGTTTCTTTGTACACATCACCTCTGAGCCTCTATTATTTGGTTGCCTCTATTATTTTGATTTAGAAATAATTAAATCCTCCTTAAAGTGTTGTGAACTTTCTTCACTAATTATCGAATTCTATGCAAATGCTATTATTATGTTTGACAATAATAATATCCATCTGCAATGCTCTTTTCTGACAAAGGTAAAAATAATGGTTGCAGGTGAATTTCCATTTTTCAACTTTTTATTATTTTAACATTACTTTGAAGAGTGTCTGTAAAGATATGCATACTTAAAATTTTTTTTAACGTTTATTTATTTTTGACAGAGACAGAGCATGAGCAGGGGAGGGGCAGAGAGAGAGGGAGACACAAAATCTGAAGCAGGCTCCGGGCTCTGAGCTGTCAGCACAGAGCCCCACGTGGGGCTTGAACTCCTGAACCGCGAGATCATCATGACCTGAGCCAAAGTCCGACGCTCAACCAACTGAGCCACTCAGGTGCCCCTACAATTTCTTTTTAAAAGTAGTGGGATATTACCAGTACCCATGTTACTCTGCCAACCAAAATCATTCCCTCTCTTCTCCAAACATAAACACAATGCTGGATTGTGTGTTAATGATTCTCTTATTCTTTATAATTGTATCCTTTATGTATGCTTCCTTAAACGCTATGTTTAGTTTTGAATAGTTTACTTTCTTACTGCGTGTATCCTATTATGACTTGCTTCTCCATTCAACATTAGGTTGTGAGAATCATCGACGCTGATGTGTGTGAAGCATTCTGTAAAGTCCCCACCATTTTTTCTATTAAACCCGGAGATGCCAGGAACATTCTTGACCATGTATTCTGTTGTACATATGCAAGGATGTCTTGAGATTCTGTTCCAAGGAGTACAACTGGTGGCTCGTGGATTATGTGCATTTTCAAATCCACTGGGCATGTTAATTTTTTCCCCCAAACGTGTCACCACGAGCGTTGCCTAAGAATATACACTGGCCCTTTTCCTCTCTCACGTTAGATACTGTGCGTTTCAATTTTGCAAGTCATACTGGACCCATGTCTCCTTTCCATCTCCTCCCTCCCTTCCCTTTTCTCCTTTCCTTTCATCCCTTGTGTACCTTCTTCTCTGCACTCCATCGCTGACATGGAAACAGATATCTATGGCTAAATTGTTTAGGGTAGAGAGTGGGGGCGGGAGGCGGGGAGAGCTAGAAATGCTTTGCAGACTTTGCAACACAGGCATCCCTACTTCAAGCTATACGGTGCCAGCTCGGCAATCCTCACCGTATTGTTTTTCCAGG